TCCTTCTTCTGTCAGATATAAAATGATATTAAATGCAACACAATTGGTTGCATCATCTGACCAATCATGAACTCTTCTTGCATGCCCTGCCTTCGGCCTGCAGTCTTTTGAATCTTGTTTGTTCCTGCTTCTACACTTTCCAATTAAAATAATATTTTTTAAAGTGTTCCAACTGTTCTTTGTCATACCAAGACCATTGCTTTTGCAATATTTCAGCTTTTTTATTTCAAGCCCGCTAAGATAAAATACTGAAATTATTAGGTCTGGTTCCTCTTTTATCTTAAATGTCAGATTTAAACTCTTTTCAAAATGATGCTGGTTTAAAAAACGATCTTGGTTATTGAGTTATTTTTATATTTTCTATTGGCAATAGAAGCCTTAATCGGAATTCTGTCCATGATGTAAAGTTTTATCTTTAAAATTATTCTTTCGTCAGTCAAAGCACCCAACAGATTGGCAACTAAAGCCTTTAGGGATAAGCCTATATTGGCAAACATAAACATCAATACTGATAATGACTGGTGTGAGGTATACATATTAACCTTTGGTCTGTTGACACTTTCATTCAATGCGTTATGCATTTCTGCCCAGTTGGTTTGATTTTGGTACCTTATTAAGTTATTGCATCTATACTTGTGACCCCTGTCTTTTATCTTCGAACTGTGCGAACCTGTGCAGTTAATACTTGTGTAAAAACAGGTGTTGGTAAAACTGTTCTGTGGTGCAGGGTACTTACATTATGTTTTCATTCAGTCTTTCCTGAGAGGGAGTGTTGGTAGTGTTTCTCAAGTCAACATGTGAACCACTGACACAAAAAACTGTACGTGACACTGTAAATTTACAGTGTTATTATTTAAAATAATGGAAGGTAGTGACTTTTTTTAATAACACAACAGGGTGTAACAAAAGAAACAAAAATGTCTCTGAATGTAAATATGCTGACTGCAATTTAACATTACGTGTAAAAAAGTATCATTTTCTACATACTGCTGAGCAAATTTGTTATCCTGCCATGTAGTATAATTTAAGATATACAGATATCTTACAGTATATTATGGAGTGATAAAGAATGCTTTAGGCAAAGAAAATATCCTTAATCTTGGAGTCCTCACCATGATGATTTTCTATGCTTACCATTAAAAAAATGCTTTATTTTTTCTGGAGTTTTGTTTTATAAATATGCATTCAACAGTTTAATAGACTTCACTGTAATATATTTTACACTGTCCCAGCACATTACAGTAATGAGAATCCATCCTGGAGGCCATGCCTTTTATGAAATGGACAGAGGTGTTAATGAGGTCACACCCACGCTGATCATAGGCGCATTGTTGATGTAACGTGCAGTGCTATCTTTCAGCATTGCTGATAACCAGTTGCTAAGAAAATGTTCCTCGGTTCCACTCAACTAAGCTCTTTAATTAAGAACTAAGATTTTTTTTTAGGAAATGTAACAGGGTCGTGGTAATCAAGCTGCTCTTGGGTTTCATTTTTAGTGAAATTCTATGGCTGGACAATGAGACTCTTCCTTCCAAGATTACAGGTTATATAAGATTAAGCTATTTTTTTGCTGTATTTTAGCAAATAACTGCAATCAACTTAAATGCAGAACATGTGAGAGAACAATACCTTTCTAAATTACAAATGATGTCCTGTAAAAGCATTTTAGCATTTTTCTCTAAATATACAATTTGGATCAGGTGCATGGGTTTTAAATGGTATTGCATTATTAGGGTAAAGTAGTCATTTTATGAGTTATAGAATCATTAAATGAAAAATTGAATTTTAGAATACAATTTTAAGACAATTCAGCATTATGTATTCCGTGAAATGCTAATATGAACCAGATAGATTGGATTGTTATATTAGGAGAAAAGAACATTAATTGAAAACTAATGGGACATCGGTGTGGAAGTTTATCCAGTGTACAGGGATTACATGCATGAGCAGATTTGAAGAGCACTTCTGGGATTCTCAGTTTCTGCACATTTCTAATTCTGATAGAGCATTGTGCTTGGAAGAACATTAATAATACCACAAAACAATTACTTGCTCATTTACTGACTGATTAAAATTTATGCATAATTTAGGCAAACAAGGAATTTAATAAATATATTTTTGCATGGCCCCAAGTACCACATAATAAATAGAGGTATTCCAATTTGTAATTAAAATAAATTCAGGAAAATCACCTAGAGGTTTTCTTAATTTTTACAGTTTAAATGTTTTTGTGGATGTTCAAATTTTTAAAACAAATGTCCAAAATGTTGTTCATTATTTTCCTGGTTTTGAGGTAATGTGGACATTTGCAGTTGAAGTCAAATGTTTGTCCATTTTCAGACAGGGCTGCAAGGTCTTCTCATGCACTACTATAGACTTCTTAATTACAACTGTGACTTTATGGTACATGTTTTCAAGTCAATTATCCATGCTTGTATATGGTACAAATGCTTGGGCAATTTAAAATATGCAGGTATGAGTTTATTATCCTTTTGTTCTTAAATCAGATGCAGCATAACTGCCAGGCTGATGATAGTGTGCAGTGAGTATCACCACTGTTGCTTAATTAACTGCAACAAATGAATCGGCTATGAGCCATCTGGAATGGAATACATTACCTTTGCTGAACACAGCATTTATCTGTAGATTTGTTTGATTTGAACAGCTAACTGTTTAAGTGCATTTCCTAATGATAGAATCTTAAGTCTTTGGGCGGCGAGGTGTTTCTGTTGTGTGCTGGTGTAAGCAAATTGGTTTTTAAAAACTAAAATTAATGGTTAAAGAACTGAGTGCTCATAATGCATGTAAGGACGAGCTTTCTGAAATTGTATTTCAAGGGCATTTTGGAGATGTTTTAAAAATCATGCTTAAAAGACTCATTAAATTTAAAATCATTAATGAATATAAATATTTAATTCAAGACAGGTATGAGGGCTAAACTCGACTACTTAGTAAAGAAAAGGAAGAAAAACATACCTTTATATCTTGGCACACAGGGTTGCAAGAGTGTAGAGAGAGTTAAGAAACTCTCTACAGATGCACCCTCAATGACTTTTTAAATCCAAATATGAGCCACACTGTTATAAAATGTTGCAACTGACAATTTTATACTGTTGTTTTTGTTTTTCTGCAGGTGTACAGTCTCTTTAAGTTTGCACTTTTTAACAGTATGTTTTGCTTTTCTAAATGTATAACTGGTTTAGTGCCTTTCAAACCAAAGGTTTCAGAAAGCTGAATTCTAAAATACAAATGGCTTAGTACAGTGGTTCTCAAACTGTGGTACGCCCCCAGCTGGTATGCCATATGACCCTGGAACTTTCTTGTGTGCGCTGAAAAATCAGGACAGGTTTTCATATTTTCTATTTTAATACATGTCGAATACACAGCCTACGTACTACGATACAGTGCGCGCTAATACTTGAGTGGACACAGAGCTACAATGTAATTCTATACCACTCTATAGAAATGCGTGCTACGAACATAAGTGACCAATTTATTTTAAAAAAGCTATCTCCAGCAAATAGGGAGGTAGGAGAATGTGTGTGATTTTGGAACAATGCCAATGTTGTAAACACAGGAATGCGTAGAAATGTTTGCTACAAACGCTGGTAATTTTGTGAGCACAGGAAAGTGTGATGGATAACAGAAAAATATTTAAGAACCTTTCTAGGTTAATTTGAGAAAAATACACTGAGCGTTTTTGTGTTTAGCTCCCATGTGCATGAAATAAAAACTTCTTTTTATGCTTGAGGATGCTTGCTAAAGCAGGTAAGCCCCACACTATTTTTGAAGAACCTTACTTACTGTTGGCAAAAGAGCTGACACGTACAGTATTATGTGTGGAGAAAAAGCTGCTAAACAGCTTGACCTGCTGCCCTCTCTGAAAGACAGTCACTCATACAATTATTGAAATGGCAGATGATATCAAAAGTACTCTGACAGAGCGCGTTAAGATGAGCAGATGCTTTTCACTGCAATTAGATGAGTCTGTAGTCGATTTGGCCACTTTGCTCGTTTACGTTTACGAGTTTGAGGGTACGTCCCATGAGGACTTTCTGTTCTGTAAGCTGCTACCAACAGGAACTACAGGAGATCACATATTTCAGCTTCTGAATGAATTTATCAAAGAGAATGGCATCGACTGGATAAAATTAATCAAGCCGACACAGCGATGTAGTTGCACGAATTAGAGAGGTTGCTCCAGAAATTAATGGACGCACTACAGCATCCACTGCGAGACCTTTGCCGTTAAGAAAATTCCTGACGATTTAAAATCTGTTAGACTCTGTTGTGAATTGTATCAAGGCTCGAAAAATGAATTCACATCTGCTTTGCTTGACTAAACAGGCTCACCCCTTTCACTGAAATGTTACTTTTTTATTGTTTATTTTTATTTGTTTTTGTTCTTTTTTTTCTGTAAAGCACTTTGACAAGCCACCTTTAAAGGCGCTATATCAAATAAAGTTCATTATTATAATATTTATTATATGTGTATGTGAGTGTGTGAGAACACGCGAGTTCATGTTGGTCATTGAGAATTTCTGGGCTTCCTGTGAGAAGATGACTTGTAGGTGGTACTTGGATGCTTTGGTTTGAGCAGGGGTGGTACTTGGTCCAAAAAGTTTGAGAACCACTGACTTAATAAATTATCAGTAGTATTTGTTGTAATACAATATGTGAAGTGAAAGTACCTTAATAAGCATGAAAATATGAATCATTATATAGTAAAACGTCCATGTAAAAATCGTATGTGCAAGAATTCAGTATTAAATGTCAGCATACCTCAAACTGAACTTTAGGAGCCTGGTATTGTTTTGTTCTGACACTTCTGGTCTACGTTTCGCAATTAAGTGCGTTAGATCCATGTTCATCTGTTCTACATCTTGTTGTATTTAACTTTATTTTACTGTAAAATTCAGAAATCCTGTAATTTTGTGTAGATTCAGTGGGAAAAACTTAAATTAGTTTTTTTTTGTGCACATTTTTTTTTCCTCTTTTAGAACCTCCTAAACCTATAGCGCCTCCTCAGCTGCTGGGAGTTGGACCCACGTATCTTCTTATCCAATTGAATGCCAACTCTATATTTGGCGATGGGCCTATCATATTGAAAGAAGTGGAGTATCGCATGACGTCTGGATCTTGGACTGAGACCCATGCTGTAAATGCTCCCACCTACAAACTATGGCACTTGGACCCGGACACCGAGTATGAAATAAGAGTTCTTCTCACCAGACCTGGGGAAGGAGGTACCGGGCAGCCAGGGCCCCCTCTTATCACCAGGACCAAATGTGCTGGTAAGTGGAGTTAACCTGTCATTTCAAATGTTTTTATTCTATCCCTTCTGTGCCACATTTACATAAAGAATCAGCAGTGATTGTCTCAGGGTCATTTCTAAAACAGAATTGGGAGAGAAAAAATGCATCAAATTAAACAAATGTTCCCGTATACCATAAGTTATGTATTTGACTCTTTAAAGTTTGTATTTTCCCAGTTTTAAAGAAAAGTGACCAATTTAAACAAATTGAGGGAAAAAAATCTTCTTATTTATGAAGTGGTTTACACTTGAGATTTCAATGAGTAATCCATGGCTGGATTTTGATCAGATTGTTATGGTAAAATGAAGATCGGTTTCTATTTTAATGGTAGTTTCAGCAAAGTTCAGCGCTGGAAGTGAAATAATGTTTAGGAAGGTGGTGGGTTTCATTACTGACCAGAATGTCTTCATAACAGAATGTCTAGTTATTCCCCTAGCCAATCATAATAATGTTATTTTTTCAGTAAGCTTAAGTCTGAAGTTTCTGTTTATGCTCAAAATGTATTTTCAGGATATATTTCAGTGTAATATTCATATTTCAGGTTAATAAGAACACCTCTCAATTAGGAACATTCTTCCTTTATTTGCAGTGATTTTATTAAATTCTTCCTGCATATTTCATGTAGTGGTTACAGAGACAGACTACTAAGATTGTAAATAATTTGCACTTCAGCTGTTTTTTTTCTAAATTTGATAACCAGTATTCACCTGGTAAAATGTTACATTAATAGTAATTTTGTTCATATTTCTATAGATTTGTCTAAATATGTTAATGAAATGCACCTTCCTCACTCAATGAATCTGAAAGACAGGAATTATAAATCCTCTCTGTGAATATATGGTCTGAGTTATGGTTCTATATACTGAAGATCATTAGTCATTTGAATTCCTTGCCTAAAGAATTCCCCCTTGGAAGGTTTTTTTTTATTTACTTCATAGCCTATTTGTTATAATTTATTTTTAAAGTGGAGAAGTTGCACTTCTCTTTTTCAGCTTCTAAAAAGACGTTATATAGTACCAATAAGTGGACTGTGTTCAGTCTCTGTTGCCTTACAAAAATGACACAGCACCAGTATGTTAAGGTCTAAAGAATATTAACTGTAATCATGGCTTTACAACTAAGCTACGCCACCGTAAAATATTTTTTCTGACGTATCATTTGGTAATTGTAGTACTTTAGTTAGTGTTTCAATTCAAATTTAAAGCACCACATGCTCTTTAGGAAACAGAGGCAAAGCAATTAAAACTAATTTTTCTGCCCACCTACTGGAGGAGACATTATATTTAAGCTTTGGTAGGCTGTCATTTAAATTAATACGCAAAAATGTCTTCAGTGCTTTATCATTTTGGAGTGACTTAATAAACAGAAATGCAACCTATGAAGTTCTAATTGTACAAGTTGCGTTTATTAGTACTGTGGGATTGCATCAGTAATCAAAGCGCAGTGTAAAATATGGGCTTAGTACAGGAAAGAAGAATCAGAAAATTTTATTTTGAATCCAGTTCTTACCACTTAGTGTTGTCCTACTTTACGTTGTGTTTTTTTTTGTCTGTTTTTCCCAACAAAGGCTCAATCTAAATGTTTCCCCAGCAGTCTTTTGTGTTGAAAGAAGTCATTGTATTGAAGCTGGACTGTCCTGGGTAAAACATATGAATTAAACCAATTTTCTATTCTCATATAAACAGATTAATTTTCACCAAGCATTGTTTAATCTTTCCCGTAAATTAGTCTTTATGTTCAGTTTCATTGTGTAATTTGCAAAATGGAGTAAAGTAATCATATTTTAAATTCGAAACAATAAGAGACTGTTATCTTTGGGGGGAAATGTAGCTAGATGTATGCTTGCTGATATTTGAGGTAAGAGAATGTATTATGAAATTGCTCAAGGCTCTTTTCACTCATGGATATTCTTATTTTTTTGGAGTGGAAAATACTTTGCATGTGCTTGTACCTGATTTATTCTTACAAATGTCATGACATTTTTGTAAAATAACATATTAATCTTTTGTAGACTAGTAAATAAAAGTAAAATATAATATAAAATATATATGGGGTTGACTGAATAGAACTTAGAAAATGGCCCTACGTAGATTTATAAGGTGCTTGGAATGTTTTTTTTTTCTTTTTTCAGAAAGCTCTTCCCAAAATGTCCCCCTCCACACACACACACTTTGGATGCCATTTTACTATCCTCACTTACTTTGTTACTTGGGAACAGCTTAATTTACCGTTGTAGAAAAATGTTAAAACTATTTAGAGAATATATCGCAAAACTGACAATTCAGAAAAACATTTCTGGGTGAAAAACTCCTTACATGCCAAAAAATACATTGTACTCCAAACAGATGACATTTTTTAAACAGGTTCTAACAATTGATGTGTAATTGGAGATCAAATGATGCGAGTCTTTTTTATTGCATTTCTTAAGGTGGCACGTAATTTAAGGAGATATTGATCAGGACCCTGCAAAAAGCTAACAAAAAGCTTGAGATAATAATACCCTTCTGAGATGAATGTTCAAATGGAAAGCTGTTGATATTAAAGAATCTCATTTTAAAATGCCAGTGTAATCTCTATTAGTGATGCAGCTCTTGTTGAAGCACATGCGGGAGTGCTGGTAACACAGCAGCTGGTGTTCACTGTATGCAGCCTCATGCTCTGACACCTGTTCCTTGATCTGTTAAGTGTATAGAGGTAGCAGGTGTAATTCATAGACAATGTTGCTGCCCCTTCTCTTGCCGTTGCTCTCCACATCCAATAAGAGTAGCCAACAACCCAGATGTGAGAGATCGTTAGTATTTTTTGTAGCACATTCCTTTTGTTCTTGAATAATTCACTTTTGTACCTTGGTAAGGCCAAAGGGCTAATACCCTACAGCACACTTTTATTGACTCTAAAAACTGTATATGGTAAAACTGTTTGATGGAGCATAGAAAATGCTATTTGTATAAAGCGGTACAGATTTGAGCTCTGCATGTGTTGTGGAGTGACAAGATTGTGTATATCGAGCAGATCAGTTGCCAGATCTCCTTGGTTACTTGTGGAAAAGTGGATGAGCCTGACAAACACTTTTTGTATGGTTTTAGGACAAACTGGGCTGTTTGTCCCAAATACAGTTTTTAGCTGACTCTTAAATGTCTGCTTGGAAATGCATGGAATGAAAATCAGTTTTGGGATTCGAGGAAATAATTTCAGTTTTAAGCCATTTCTGGCACAAACACTGAGGCACAAAAAAGCATGTAAATTCTAAAGACCTATGCTGAACTGAAGAATCCCAGATTACAAATGGTTAATATAAACCTCATGCAAGTACTGTAACTGTTGCAAAATGCATTTGAACTTCCATTTTTGATCTTGTTTGGCTTGAGTTATTTGTCAAAAAATGGTACTGCTCCAGTGGATCATGAAATGTGGAAAAACATAATGCTTGCCGAAGGAGCCATTAACCCTATTACTGGACTGTGAGAGGATTATACTTCCTAATCACGTTCAGTTCTTTGCATTTTTAAGCTGTCTATTATGCCATATATGAGAAATGGGAGAAAAAATGTCACTGTTAACAAATTGCCAGAGATTTAAAATGTTTACAGTTGCTGTATTGGTACATCAAACTTATCAATGGATTAGTTTTTCTGATCAGCTTTACAGGTCATCACAAAGGACTCCTCTGAGGTTTATTTCCACCTTTTTAGTCTGTGCACTTCCTAGGTTTTATGGGCATCTTCTCAGCTTCTTATGTTCCATCTCTGCAAATTAAGAGCTGTTTTTGTCTGCCTTCAGTGTCAGAAGCACTGCAGAGGTGTAGAACATTCTCCAAGGACATCAATCTACATATTTCAACCTTATGTCATGCTGATTGCCTGGAGGCTGAGAATTTTACAGTTCTAAAATGTAATACTGGCAGGAGTACGGCTGACCATAACATTGCCGATTACATAGAGAGTAGCACTTAAAAATCTGTGCCGGCAGCAGATAACTGCTACATTTTATAGAAACGTTTTCAATTAAAACAGCTAGGTGATCTTTAAAATTAATTGTCGGATTGTAATGACCAAGTAGCTATTAAAAGGTCAGCAGTTCATCCTGTCTAAAACTTGAATTAAGGTATTTATTCGTGGATGTCCCCTTGCACGAAGGTGAATGGAGTTTGATGCAGTATGTGGTCTTACTAACTGCCACAGGCAGTCTTTACGAGCTAAGAGGGCAGGATTCTAAGTTATTTGACAAATATTTTTCCTAAACTGAAACCCACTTGTCCTTAAGCTTGTATTGTTTTCACTCAGGTGCAAACAAATGGCCTTCCTTGCATGACCTTTTCAGCCTTTATCAATTCTTGGCACTGGATATTGATTGTGATTAGACCTAGAGCTACAAACACTATTAGAGAGTTTGCTTTATCTTGCAGTGAAAATTTGATTTCTGCTTTCAGCTACTGATGGTTCATACAGTATGTCTTTTAAAGGCAGTTGTTTACATGCTCCATTTTCAGAAGGTATTTTAAATATGTATTGAGAAATGTTCTTTTTTTTATTAAAGCTTTGCAATGGTTTATGTTCTTGTGGTTAAGTATAGTGGTGCTAACATTTCTATTAAATATCTGATATTTGTTGTGCAGAGTTGTTAATAAATATGACCTATAACATTAAGTTAACGTTTTAGTTTTGGAACTGTTTCTAAAAGATACGTTCTCAGAAATAGAAGCAAAATGATTTGTGGGTTTGGTTTGAAAAAATCATAATTGTAAACTGTGGGGGGTGGTGTTTTCATCAGCAGTCTTGACATTTCCTTGTAACTTAGTCTGCATGGAATTAATCCGTTCTTCATTAGGAATAAAGCCTGTAAGACTAATCATTACTTTTCAAATGTATTTATTGTTAAATAATTTTTCATTAAAAATGGAAATATAAGTGATTAGAAATAAATGCATTTTACTAAGTGTAATTAAACAAAATACAAGATTTATGAGGCAATGTGTTTTC